ACTATGAAAAGATAAACCTGAAGGTGTCACATACCCATCCAACGTGATACAGAAGTCACAACACAAAATTGTAAGAAAAATGAAAAAGTACAGCAAAGGAACATATCTCCTCAATGCCATATCAATAAATGCAGAAGTACTTACAATGCTGAACACATAGTCTAAACGTATACTTGAGAAAAAAGTATGGTTTGAAACTGAACAAACCCGGGGTGGGAGGAGTCAGTAAACATAAGTACTTCGTGGTTTTTGCTTCCAGATTTCTGTCTTGAATTCCTAACCTGACTTCCCTGGATAATGGACATATAGGAGGAAAAGTTAAATAAAACATTCCTCCCCAAGTTGTTTTCATTTATGGTGTTTATCACAGAAACAAGAGAGCAAACTGGAGCAAGAATGTATAGACTATTACATTCAATAGCTACAGGATACATATCTTCTCAGCCGTCCATGAGATATTCTGTGATATAGATACTAGTGTAAGTCACTGGGCAAGTAAAAACTATTTAAAAGTAAAAACAACGTTGTCTATCTTATCCGATCCTAAAGCAGTAAAATTATAAATCACTATCAAGGGAAATGACAGAAATGAAATAATCCAAATAGAATTAAACATTATACCACAATGGTCTATAGGTAAAGGAAGCAATCAGGAATTACTGAAATCTGGTTTGGTAAATCTAAGAAACACCCCAAGGAATAGAAGCTATTGCCATTGTTCTCAGCTGCCTAACAGAACTTGAAGATATGACATTACTGTGAAAGGCACCACACATTTCAGGCATAGGACTTGGAGGAACTGGTCTGGAAACAGCCCTCAAGTCTCATCCATAAGGACTAGGGCTTACAGTTTTCAATGTGCTATGCCAGCTGCTAACAGAGAAAGGCAATCAATAATCATATGTAGCTTTGAGCCCATTGTCTTAGTTGTTTTTCTATTGCTGTGAAGAGACACCATGACCAAGGAAAATATGAAAAAGTAACATTTAATTAGGGGTTTGCTTACAGTTTCAGAGGCTTAGTCCATGAAAATCAAGGTGAGGAGTAAGGTGACTGACTGGCAGGCAGGTATGGCGATGGGGCAGTAGCTGAGAGCTTACTTCCTGATCTGCATGCAGGAGGAAGAGAGAAAGTGAGACTGGGCCTGGAACTGCCTTTTGAAATGTCAAAACCCACTCCCCAGTAACAGGCTTTCTCAAACAAGGCCACAATTCCTAATCCTTCCTAAATAGTTCACCAACTAGGAATCAAACATTCAAATACTTGAGCCTATGGGAGCCATTCTCGTTCAAACTACTCCATCCTACTCCCTGGTCTGCATAAGTCTTTAGTCCTATCTTAATGCAAAATGCACTCAGTCCAACTTCAAATGTCCCCACTGTCTTTCAGTCTCCAGACTGTTTACAATTCCAGAGCTTAAAGTTTCTTGTGAGACTCAGAGTGATCTCTTAACTGTAAGCCCTTTAAAATCAAAATAAAAAATCAAATCACATACTTCTCTAACATTTAATGACACAAAAATTATATTACTATTCCAAAAGAGAGGAGGAAAGGGTCCATAGTGAATAAATACTGGAGCAAACCAAGGCTGAAACTCAGCAGGGAAATTCTGTATCTCTATGATTTATGTTAAAGTGATTATTTGATGAATCTTCATACCTCCCACTCTTCCTAGTGTTGTTGATTACATCATCAGTTTTCTTTAACAACGGAGCACCCCTTACACTTGTAGCTCCCTTGGGAATAGAACAGAAGCATGGGACTTAAGGTACCAAGTTATTATGTTTACCTGGGTTAAAACCTGGTCCCATCCACTACTTACATTTACATGAGCTTTGACATGGTAATCGATTCTGATAGAATACCCTGGCAGCTGAAAACCAAAAGTCCTGCTGAGACTGTCTTAATGCCATTGTGCAACTTTTATCAGTCAGCTAAATTCATATCTCAGGGAGCACTGTTTTTGAGACAGTTCCCAAGATGTCCTGCTGTTGTGGAACAATCTTTTTATACGCTATGAATCTGTATTACTCTCATTGGCTAACAAGAGCTCAATAAACTATAGCTGGGCAGGAGGAGGTTAGGTGAAAAACCATACTAAAAGAGGATGTTGAGCTGAAGAGGGGCAGAGTTAGAGGAATTGCCAGCAAGATGCAGAGTGAGTTGAAGACACAAAATGGACCAGATGCAAAAGGTACATTCCAGAACATAGATTAATAGAAATGGGTCAATTTAACTTGTAAGAGGTAGTTAGTTCTAAGCCTGAGTTATCAGGCGAGCATTTATAATTAATATAAGCCTTAGTGTATTTGAGATTGTCTGTGGAACAGGAAAACTCTACCTACGGTCTGCTTTGTCTGAACGAGAAGTTTCAAAAGGAGGAGTTCTTATGTGTCCTCTGCAGCTCTCTCAACTTTCTTATACTTAAACCCTCTGCCCAGTCCTATGAAGAGCCCTAATCAGCTCCTTCCCCTTCACACAAGTTCCATTCCCATGGGAAGTCATTGGCCCTTGCTGCTGTGCTAATAAACAGTCTCAACTGTTGAGAGCAGACTTAGGTCTCTTGCATGGTTTCTGTTCCTTTATTATTCTTAAATATAACATTTTGGTGTAGAAATCCAGGAGAGATTCTTGGATCCCTGCCCTTTGGTAGCTCCATCCCTTCTTCTGGGACCTTCTGGACTTTTTATCGACCTTGACTCCTCTTGGGACTTGGAACTTCCGGAGCACAGATACTCTCTGAACTCACTATATAGACTAAACAGCTGCTAGTTGCCATCTGAAACCCACTGGTTTTTGTAGCTTCTGCCTCTGCGAACAGTAAACTTTTATCCCAAGCTGATACAGGTATATCTGTGATTATCAGGTTTACAACAGAGCAAGATCCAGTACAGCCAGGGCTACAGATATACCCTGACTCAAAAAAGGAAATGGTCTCATAAACGCATATGTTTGAATGCAGGTTCGCAGTTAGTGGGACTATTAGGAGGTGTGTCACCACTCATGCCAGGCCCAATCTATCTCTGTCTGCTACTTTCAGATCAGGCGGAAGCTGTAACTAATATGCTACCACCGTGCCTGCCACACTCCCCATCATGATGGCCATGGACTCACCCTTTGAAATTATAAACAGCCGCCCAATTAAATGCATTGTAAAATTGCTTTGGTCATACCTGTTCATAGCAATGAAACAGTAAGTAAGACGAATAACAGTACAGATAATCAATGAAAAATGAGTTTCTTTCAAAAGGTGAGAGTGACAAAATCCTTAGCTGAACTAAATGAGAATGAATACAAAAATTAGTAAAATAGAGATGAAAAGGGGGACAGTACAAAGTAACACCAATGAAATTTGAAAACGGTTAATGAATATTTGAAAACTCATATTCAAAGAATATCTAAAAGAAATGGAAAATTTCCTAGATAAAAAAGATAAAATAACTTTAGAGATCCATAAAAATCAATAAGATTAAAGTATCTCCCAACAAAGAAAATCCTAGAAACACATGGATGAAGGAAATATTTTATCAGGCCTCAAAAATGCTCCCGAAACTACCTAATTAAAACATACGGGCAATGGTAAACTTCTGGTTCGTGGACAAAATACCTTGATATCTAGCCTAGTTCAGACTAAAATCTTAAAAAATTGTTTTGGTGGTGAACATTAGTAATATATTACTTTTTTCTAATAAAGTCTTTATAAACTGAATTTAGTAATAGATTTTAACACCATGATCAAGTTGGCTTATATTAGGTTGCAAGGATGTTTCACTTATTAATAGGTTTGTAGTCAGAGGTCACATAATGATCTTACAAGTGCAAAACAGGCCTTTATCAAAAAAGCACTGAAGAATCTATACTAAAAGCAACATATATCACTATAAAATGCCTCTACACAATAAACCTACAGTCAAAATCATATCAAATTTGGAAAACTGCAAAGCATTTGTCAGCAACGAGAAAGTATGATCCACCCTCTCCAATCTTAATCAATGTGCTGAATGAAGATTCAGTTCACTATAGTAAAGCAAGAGAAAATGCAAATGATACACAAAGAGTAAAGGGGGATGTCTAATGATTTCTAAGAATCTTTGCTATAATCCTATAATTAAAAGACCTCAAATGCTCTAACAGAAAACATTAGGGTTTGGTAAAAGCAGCAAAAAACAAAAAAAAAATTGAGTATTACAAGATAAGTGCAAAAACTGACGCTTTTCCATATTCCAATAATCATGACATTGACAAATAAATCAGGAAAACAATTCAATGCACAACTGCTTCAAACATTAAATACTAAGGAACAAGACTTAACGAGGAAGTGAAAGACTGAAACAGCTCATTTAATAACAGTGAAGGAAGAAATCGAAGAAGACAGTAGAAGACGGAAAGACCTCTTACATACAGGAACAAGCAAGTAAATATTAGCTGCTTTCAAATTATGTCATGGAGCAATAGAAACAAAAACAGAATGCTATTGCAACAAAACGAGATGTGTGTAAGTCAGTGGAATGAAATAGAAAACCCTGAAATATGATCACCTATCTAGAATCACCTGATTACTGAAGAAAAAAAGTGCCCAAAACATCCACTGGAGAAAAGGAAACCATGTTACAACACTTTAGTTAATTTTTGCTAGTTTAACAACACTAATTATCTAAATGTAGAGAGACTAATCTGTATTCCTGTCTCTCTTTACAAACATCAATTCAAAATCAATCAATGCTCCTAATGTAAGATGTGACATCCTGAAACTTCTATAATGTGAGAAAAAAACACTGTATAGGCACTGTATAGGCACAATAATCCTCTTTAAAATATATTCTGGAATCAGTTCAGGAAACAATAGCAAAAACTGACAAATTAAATTTCATGAAATTAAAAAGCTTCTGGCTGTGAGGTGGTGGCGCACGCCTTTAATCCCAGCACTCGGGAGGCAGAGGCAAGTGGATCTCTGTGAGTTCGAGGCCAGCCTGGTCTACAAGAGCTAGTTCCAGCTCTTTCCCATCTTGCAAGATGGCGGGTGAAAAAGGCGAGAAACCTGATACAAAAGAGAAGAAACCTGCAGCCAAGAAGGCTGGCGGTGATGCCCCTGCCGCTGGTGCAGCCAAAAAGGGTGACCCTAAGGCTAAAAAGCTCAAGAAGGGGAAGCCCCATTGCAGCCGAAATCCAGTCCTTGTTAGAGGAATTGGCAGGTACTCCCGATCTGCTATGTATTCCAGGAAGGCCGTGTACAAAAGGAAATACACAGCTGCAAAAACCAAGGTTGAAAAGAAGAAGAAAAAGGAAAAGGTCCTTGCCACTGTCACAAAACCAGTTGGTGGTGACAAGAATGGTGGTACCCGGGTGGTTAAGCTTCGAAAAATGCCCAGGTATTATCCTACTGAAGATGTGCCTCGGAAGCTGCTGAGCCATGGCAAAAAGCCCTTCAGTCAGCACGTGAGACACCTGCGTGCCAGCATCACTCCTGGGACTGTCCTCATCATCCTTACCAGGGGCCACAGGGGCAATAGAGTGGTTTTCCTGAAGCAACTGGGCAGTGGTTTACTGCTTGTGACAGGACCTCTTGCCCTCAACAGGGTTCCTTTGAGAAGAACACATCAGAAATTTGTCATTGCCACCTCTACAAAAGTTGATATCAGCACAGTTAAAATCCCCAAACACCTGACTGATGCTTACTTCAAGAAAAAGCAGCTGCGCAAGCCCAGGCATCAGGAGGGCGAGATCTTTAACACAGAGAAGGAGAAATAGGAGATTACAGAGCAGTGCAAGGCTGATCACAAAGCTGTGGACTCGCAGATTCTGCCAAAGATCAAAGCTGTTCCTCAGCTGCAGGGCTACCTGCGCTCTCAGTTCTGTCTGGGGAACGGGATGTACACAAACTGGTTTTCTAAATTGCTGACAACCTAATTAAACAGCTTTATGTGTTTAAAAAAAAAAAGAGCTAGTTCCAGGATGGGGTTCCAAAGTCACAGAGAAGCCCTGTCTCGAAAACCCAAAATAAACAAACAAACAAACAAATAAGCAAGCTTCTGCAGAGCAATAGAAACAATATAGTGACAACCAAGCGAACAGAATGGTAATATTTTCTAGCCCTTTTTTTAAAATAGAGAGTTAATATTCAGAATCTTTAAAGAACTTAAAACTTTAAATGCCAAATACAGAAGCCAACACACTCATAAATGACTAATCAGTTGGATAGGTCTCAAAAGAAGAAATACAACTGGCTAATACATATATTCATAAATGTTTAACTTGAATAGACTTAAGGAAAATAATAATTAAAAGTATATTGATAAGCTAAATGACAACAAATACAAGTGAGGATATGAGGGCAAGGAACCCTTATAAAACACTGCTGAAAATGTGAAGGTATTTATGGAAGATCCTGAAAAAAGTGGAAACTAGAACTATCTTACTATCCACACATACAACCCAAAGCAATCCAAATCAAAACCCCACAGAGATTCCTGCACATTCGTGTTTTCTTATGTTACTTTTCACAATATCCTGGGAATGGAATCGGCTTAGAATTACATCAACAGATGAATGGATACAAGAAATAGTGTGTACATATGAAATGAAGTTATTACTAAGTGAGAAAGTGAAACAAAATTATGTCATTTGTAGAAAAATACATAGCACTGAAAACCATCAGGTTAGTCAAAATCATCCCGTCTAAGGATGATAAATATTACATACTTTCTCTCACAAAAACTACCTAGATTTATTTATATATATATATATGCAATGAAAGTAGAAAATCATCTATATATGAGTGAAGGACAGAGAATTATCTTAAGATGCTCAATGAACATGAGAGAGCACTGAGAAGGAACAGGAGCAAAGGACCATGATATACATACTGAAAACGTCATAATGTTCATTTTGTATAATAACTTGTTTTTTTTAATGAGATGCACTGTAGAAAAATCCATCTATACACTGTGAATTTGTATTACTCTTATTGGTTAATAAAGAAGCTGACTAACCAACAGCTAAACAGTATAAGGTTAGGTGAGAGAGCCAAACTGAGAATGCTGGGAGGATGAAAGGCAGAGTCTGGAGTCACTGGTCAGACAGAGAGGATGTCATTATTCAGCTACCAATAGGCTGCATTTCCAGGTTTCCCATCATTAGCATGTGATGTAGCCATGCAAACCCCTTTTGCGCATGTGCATGGCATGGGTCGCCCGTCACCAGTGTGTGAGTAGACATGTCTTCCCACTGTGCACATGTGCTAGGTAGCCATTAAATGCTGGACGCACCACCTTTGCTCTCTCTGTCCCCCACACTCGGAGATGCAGCCTCTCTCTCCCTTTCTCCCCCCCTCACTGTCCCCCTCTCAGAGAGGCAGCTTCTCTCTCTCTCTCTCTCTCTCTCTCTCTCTCTGTACACCATTTTTTCCCAGGCCTGTGTACACTCTAACAGACTCCTAAGTGAGTTTGTTTGAGTCTTGTGTTCTCTTCTTGCTCACGCCAGATCATTTCATTGGTGCAGTGACTTGAGAGATTCTTCCGCCCCAGGCCTCTTTCCTGGGGTCGGAATCAAAACTAGGCACATGTTCCTGGTTATGCCACCTGAACCTGAAGAACTCCCCCCCCCCCACTTTCACTCTGGACCCAGCTAATGAACCTCCACCTTTTCGACCTCAGGAGGAAGCTACCCCCAATCCCCCAGCTTCTATCCCTACCTCTCTAGTCCCTTCAGCCCCAGCTTTTATGCCTGTCTCTTCAGCTCCTGCAGCCCCAGCTTCTATGCCAGTTCCTTTACCTCCTGCTGCCTCGCCACCTCCTGCTGCTTGTTTTTCAGCTCTCTCACTCTCTCTCTCCTCCACCTCCACCTGCTCCAACAGCCCCACTGAATTCTTCTTCCTTTCCGGTGCTCAGCCACAGCAGTCACCTTGCTCTGGCACCCACCTTTACACCTCTTCTCACACACTCACGTGCTGCTATGGAACCTAACCCTAACCAAGCCAAGCCCGCTACAGTTTTCCCGTTGTGAGAGGTGGCTGTTGTAGATGGATTATTTAGGGTTCATGTTCCTTTTTAACTCTCAGAACTTTCCCATATAGAAAAAATACCGGGCTCCTGTCGAATTCTACCACTTTCATAAAACAATTCCAATATCTTACCCAATCTTATAATCTCAACTTTCGTGACATCTATATGATCCTATCTAATAACCTACTTCTTGAAGAGCGCAGGCGAGTTTGGGAAGAGGCCAGACTACATGCAGACGAGATTCACCAAACTCTTGCCTCCCACCCTCCTGGAGTAGAGGCAGTCCCAGAGCAAGAGCCACACTGGGATTATAATACTCTGGGTGGGATTTTAGCTAGGGACAGGTTTTTTATTTGCTTCCTGGCAGGTCTCCGTAAGGCTGCCTTCAAGCTGGTAAACTATACTAAGCTCTGAGAGATCATTCAGGATAAAAAGGAAAATCCTTCCTCATTTTTGGAACACCTCACAAAAGCATTGTTAAAGTATACTAACTTAGAGCCAGAAACTATGGAAGGCAGACAGTTATTCATGACCCATTTTTTTTTAATCAGTGCTACTCTGACATTAGGGCTAAACTTAGACATTTGGAGAAAGGCTCCTAGACCCCATAGGCAGAAGTCCTAGAGGTGGCTTTTAAGGTGTACCATGTGAGAAATGACAAAGCCTGCAATCATTGTCATGTGCTAACCACAGCCTCCCGACCAGTCGAGGTGACAGACCGCCTGATTCGTGATTCTCCCTTGCCCCCCGGGGCTCAAGAACTGCCAGGTCCATGTTTCAAATGTGGTAAAACTGGTCACTGGGCCCGAGCATGCCCTAATCCTCATCTCAGTCCCATGAGACCTTGTCCAAGGTGTCACAGGAAAGGTCACTGGGCAGTAAATTGTCTTCATACATGTAGTGGCATGGAGACATTTGACCCAGAGAATTCCCAAGTTGACCTTATAGGTCTAGCCATAGATGAGTGAGGCTGCTTGGGTTCCTCTGACCCGACCACAACCGTCATTTGTTGTGGAGCCACAGATAAACATAACGGCATCAGGACGGCCCATATCCTTTCTCTTGGACACCAGAGCCACATACTCGATACTGAGGGAATTCTGGGGGTCTACTTCTCCTTCTAGTTTCCCTATTGTCAGAGTAGGGGGGATAGCCTTATCTACCTCAGCAGACCCCACCACTTAATTGTGTGTTTAGGGGTATTTATCTCACCTATTCATTGTTAGTCATGTCAGCCTGCCTGGTACCTCTCGTGGGAGGGAATTTTTAGCAAAGGTAGGAACTTCCATTTCCTTTGCTCCTCCAATTTACCTTACCAGAGACTCTTCAGTAGCTTCACTCCTCCTTCTCCTAGCCTCCCAACTTCCCAACCCTAACGCGTCTTTTCCTCTACCAGCCTCCCAGGTAGACCCCCAAGTCTGGGACACCCAAAACCCGTCTGTTGCTAAACACCATTCCCCCATTGTTATCCAATTACAAGATTCTACTAAGTACATTACCCAAGCTCAGCACCCCCCTCTCTAGAGCTTTAAGGGACTTAAGCCTATCATTTCTGACCTTGTAAGAAAAAAGCTACTTCGCCCCACCCCTTTTCCCTTTAACAATCCTATACTTGCTGTTAAAAAACCTAGTGGAATCTATAGTCTGGTTCAAGACCTCTGCCTCATTAACTCCGCAGTGGTCCCTTTTTATGCTGTAGTGCCTAATCCTCTCATACTTTTATCCGATATTCCTCCAGGAACCTCCCACTTCTCTGTTCTAGACCTCAAGGATGCTTTTTTCTCTATCCCTCTCAGCCCTCAATCTCAAAACATCTTTGCCTTCACCTTGACTGGATAAAACTTTTGCCTCTGGCCCTACTAACGCTTAGGGCTCTCCCCAAAGGTCCCCTTTTTATCTCACCCTTTGAACTCATGTATGGGCAGCCAATTTTAATCCCTGGCCTCTAACCTAAATCCTCTCCCCTTCCTGATCACCTGCTTACTCCACTGTTATCCCATCTATGCTCCCTATTATGGGATGTCACCAACCACTCATTACCTCAACCATTTGCTAATTCATGCCCACCGCCTATTAAAATAGGGGATCAGGTATTATTTTCTCCCCCAGACCAACGCCCCTCATCCCTTTTTCCTAAATGGCAGGGCCCCTTTAAAGTAATTCTTGTAACTCCCACAGCTGCCAAGCTCAAGGGACTTCCTCATTGGATTCACCTGTCACATTTTAAACTTTTTACTCTTCCAGCTCAAGATATCCCCTCATATACAGTAACTCAAACAGGGCCCTGTTCCCTTAAGTTCCAGAGGACACCAGGATCAGCCACTCTTTCTCTAATTCCAAAAAATAAAAGTCTCATCCTTACTCAACTCTCTTGTGCCAAAAACTCCATATACTCTCCCTTTTCTTCTTTCTCCTATATGCTTTCAATGTCATGCTTAAATTTCCAGTTAACCACTCAGCTGTTATTACAGGAACCATCATTAAACAAAGAGCCAGAGGTACAAGGACTGTCAAAGCCCAGGCGGTAAGAAACAATAATGAGTTAGTAGCCCCAAACTCCAAAAACTCACAAAACAAACTTTAACATAACAGGTTTTATCACTTACTGCAGCAGTGTTTCCTGGATATTAAGCTCCAGGGAGCCAATTGGACCCACCCAAATGGACCAGACTCGCCCAGAATAAGTATCATTTAATTCTTTTCTTGTCATTCCTGGTCTTGGGAACCCCTGGGGGGAAAAAACCTCTA